GGCTTGTGTCTGCACCAGTAAATTTTTTTTATCTGTGAATATCCACCCACACTTTTCATTTCTCCTGCAACATACAAATGCAGATGTCCTTACGCAACAAGAGGCCTGGCAGTAAATTTGACCCTTGTGCTAAAAAGAGCAAGGCATCCACCCCACACCAACACTGAATATGATATAGGGCTGAACTACAAGCCATAATCTGTCTTAAAACCAGTGCTAGACTTGTTTTCCCTATATAATTCTTTTTGCAATCAGTTAATAGAGGAAAATAAATCTTGGTTATGTAAATAAGTATATAAGACCATTTAATTGAAGAAAATATGTGAGTGGCACACCTTGTTGTCTATGACGCAAATGTAAAGCAAGCATTACAAAATAAGTTATTAATCACAGAGAGAGGCCACTTTAAGTGGTGAGTATTACAGGGCCTGAAGGGAGATTATCAAGGGTTGGGCTCTTCCATTGTATGTGTGGTTTCATGGAGAATTAGTGTTTTGTATAGCATGACCATGACAAGAGGCCTGTGTGTACTGTACTAATTCAACAACGGGCTGTCTACATTTGACTGTAGTGTAACAATATGGAAATAAAAGCACGGATAACCCTGAGACAAGATACTCATTCAAGCAGATCATAACTGCAGCCAATGTGTAAAAATGATGTTGTGTTTACTTAAATGTAAACAACATCATTAATTTCCGTAAAAGTCCCTCAGTCAGTGAGAATCTGTTCTTTTTACATCACAGATAAGCTTACATAACGTGATTCTATAAGTTGTCTCTGACTTCTAGATAAGAACCTGTGGATTGTATCAAACATTAACCGAAGCATGGCCTACTACAGCTGAATGGCCTAGAAACATCAACACTAAAAGACAAACGGTGGCATTGTCATAGGTAATCTCTCAAATAATACTGTCTGCACCAATAATTATCTACAAAAAAGTACACCACTGTTCACTAGCATTTAATTCATAATTAATAATTTTATTCAGCAAGGATGCATTAAACTGATCAAAAGTGACAGTGAAAACATTTGTAATATTACAAAAACGCTGTTCTTTTGAACTTTCTATTCATTAAATAATTCTGACAAAAATAATGTATCATTATTTCCATAAAAATATTTAGCAGCACAACTGTTTTCGACACTGATAATAATAATAATATTTCTTGAGCACCAAATCAGCATATTAGAATTATTGAAGGATCATGTGACACCGAAAACTGAAGTAATGGAGAAAATTCAGCTTTGCATCACAGGAATAAATTACACTTTAAAATATATTCCAAAAATAGAAAACAGTTATTAAACTGTAATAATATTTCACAATATTACTGTATTTTTTATCAAATAAATAAAATGACTTCTTTTAAAAACTTTACCAAATCTAGACTTTTGAATGGTAGTGTTCTTCTTCTCAAGTTACATACTAAGTGTCATAAAAGTGTGTTTGTAATATTTATCTTTGAAGTAAATGCCACATGTTTGATATTTTGTTGTCTACTGCAAAGACATTCATACATTTTAAGTGTGACTTAGGTGTCCAGACATTTTTTTGATTAAATGATTCATTATAGTTATTTAACTGATAATATTCTAATATTATATCAGTGAGAAAAAGTAGTATCAAAATGTCATGTGTCCAGTGATTAGCATGTCCCACAGACCATAGACTATTTAAAGACAAGGAGGGGAAAAAACATACAAACAACTTTTGCACCTGCCTCACACTGACTGCTTGTTTTTCAGCTCTGCAGTCGTGAAATAAGGTTCTGACCTCCAGTTAACTCAGACACAGCAGATGAATGAGGAAGTTGTTCTTTATCAGAAGTGAACTGATGAACAGCTTGTAGTGGTATGTAATACTTACCAGTCTGTGTTTCTATTCTTCACAAAGCCTCACGCCTCACCTGAACGCTAATGAAGTATGGATAATATGTACTCATGATCACCATGTCAAACCTTGCTTAGTCACATTGAGATGTCAATCTTGTGACATTCTCCAGGATTTGTGTCATACTAATGAGGGATCTGTGTTCTTTTATAGGCCTTCTGCCTTCAAAAATGGCCTTATTTATAGTTTCTCTTGATTTTCTTAATTATAAAAGGCTTGTTTGGACAATAAATCCACTAAAGTGCCTGATGTGGTATGATGCATTCTATATTGTAAACTAGTTATGGTACATGACATTTTATGGTGCCCTTTGTGTTTATTCTTTTGATGATAGTTAGTCATTGTTAGAACCTACCATGAAAAGCTCAATAAGACCGGAATGTGGGTTGTAAAATTCAGTATGACCTGAATCTGTTGGGTCGATGAGCTCTAGACTCATTTTAACGCAGTCCTAAACTTATTTGCTGCCCAATGTTATGGCCCTGACAACTTTTGCCTACTGCAGTACCTAGTCAGGGAATATGTGTGCGGTGTAATCAAATAATAAAAATAAATCCACGTCCACTACTCTCAGGTGTTTAAGGATTCAAGGGTGGCAGAATTGCTTTTCAAACAAAAAGATTAGTTGTGTATCCTTAATAAACAGTTTCGGGATTTAGATGCACCTTTTTTGGGTGTGAAACTGGGAACAGCCTTTCTGATTGTTTGCAAAAAGAGATGTTTTACTTAAAGGTATTTGTCTACGTGCATTAGGTCAGATGGATACTCCCAGAAGAGGTGCTATTACAGTTGCACATCCACCCAGCAGGGCCTTCAGTAATGACGAGGTGAATATCAAGTATTTCCTTGGTTTCCCTCCATTTGAAAGTTCTGCGACCCTTCTACAGGTGCATCTCAATAAATTAGAATGTCGTGGAAAAGTTCATTTATTTCAGTAATTCAACTCAAATTGTGAAACTCGTGTATTAAATAAATTCAATGCACACAGACTGAAGTAGTTTAAGTCTTTGGTTCTTTCAATTGTGATGATTTTGGCTCACATTTAACAAAAACCCACCAATTCACTATCTCAACAAATTAGAATAGTCAAAGAACCTGGGCTTCCATACCACCTCAGCAGTGCCACAAACTGATCACCTCCACGCCACGCCGAATTGAGGCAGTAATTAAAGCAAAAGGAGCCCCTACCAAGTATTGAGTACATGTACAGTAAATGAACATACTTTCCAGAAGGCCAACAATTCACTAAAAATGTTTTTTTTATTGGTCTTATGAAGTATTCTAATTTGTTGAGATAGTGAATTGGTGGGTTTTTGTTAAATGTGAGCCAAAATCATCACAATTAAAAGAACCAAAGACTTAAACTACTTCAGTCTGTGTGCATTGAATGTATTTAATACACGAGTTTCACAATTTGAGTTGAATTACTGAAATAAATGAACTTTTCCATGACATTCTAATTTATTGAGATGCACCTGTAAATCACTTCAGGCCTGGATTGTCACCAACAATGCTCTCCTACCTCAAGGCAAGCTATTTTTAGGCCAATGACGCAGGTGTCTCGTATCACCACCTGCTCAGAACACCGATGCGGGCTCCCTCTTTCCGTGCTGCTTGGCAACGGGGGATGCTGTTGCCAGGGGAACTGAAATTGGTTGACATCACACACTGTCAGAACCTCCCGTATTGAAATGGTATTTAGTTCAGCTCTCTGATCACATACACACTGATCTATCATGACTAACCCCCCGCTGCTGTTGCCCCCAAGACTGATCAACAGCTTGCGAGCTATGAGTCATCCACAAATGCCACGCAGCAGAGAATCATTCTTTTCATCCTCTGTGTAACCAAAATAAATCCAATCAGAACAGATGTGTGGATGTTTTCTTAAGCAGTCCACACAAACACACTGTTAACATTATACAGTTGAGAATTAAGACATATTTAACCATGTATCCTTCATTTCCCAATAGATATGAGACTTCATATTTAGGACAGTCCCGGTGGTAATAAGCTATTTCTTGGTAGTCTCACAGTATTTGCAGTTTTAACATCAGTACTGTAGGAGTAGATGGTTCTGATTTGGTTCCCTATAAACATTCCTATTTTCAGATTTATAGGGTTTATGGTTTTCTCTCTTTTTTTCTTTCTCATTTGGGACCAGTGAAGAAAAAGCGTGTTGGATGGGCTTAGTTATTTTTGCTTTTCAGCTGCCACTGCAACACCTCACATTTATTTGTGAAAAAGCTCATTCAAATCTGGGTTCATATAATATAAAATAATTAATAAAAATATAAATAACATATACAGTATATATATATATATATATATATATATATATATATATATAAATATTTTTATATTTATAGTAAA